ATTTACAAAGACACCTACTGGACTCCGCTTCAGGTTGGGTGGGATCAGACTATAGGTCTCTTCATTTCCTAACCCGTATTGAGGGCTTTGGGACTGCGATTCTCTCCCAACGGAACTTACTGGCAGGCATGCTACCAGCGCATTCAAAGACTGCGGCGTGACGTGCACAACTTAACTTGGACAAACTTGCGGCTTCTGCAATCCCGACGAAGATGGTGAGGACGATGAGGACGACGATGACGATGATGATGGGGATGATGATGTTGATGCTGATAACGATGATGATGCTGCTGATGATGGTGTGATGACGACGACGACGATGATGATGATGATGATGAAGATGGTGCAATGACTGCGCTGATAAAGATGGTGATTGGTGATGGCAAATATATGATGGTGATGCCGACGGTGATATGATGATGATTTTAATAATGATGATGATATTGATGATGATAGGTTGTTGATGATGGTGTTGATGATGATTGTGATGTTGGTATGACAAATGATGCAATGATCATGATGATGATGATGATGATGACGGTGGTCATGACATCGGTAGGACCTTCGCCGTGGTGCTCTGCCGGGTAGTATAACGATGTTGCCACGCATTTTCCTGTCCATGAGCAGCGGCACGACCTCAAAGCTCTGCGTGTGTAGGTAGTCATGCTCTCTCTCTTCGCGTGAGCGCTCTGCTCAGCTCGCGAACCAATGGCTTGAGCGTTGACTGAAAGCGATCTTGCCAGTTGAAGGACATCTTGTCCACGGCTTGCCCATCCGCTCACATCACCTTTGCTGTTCTTCGTCGGTTCTGAGCTTCGGCTCCGTTGGCTCAGGAACACGCGCCGCTCCATGCTTGAGCGCACGATCGAGGATGAGATGGAGAGCGGCGATGAGGAAAAAATGGAAATCTCCGATGAGGAGAATGACTTTCCCCCTTTGCCTCAGAAGGGACGTCATGGGGGTGGCTCAATTCTTGGTTCAACCCCTTCCTTTATATCTTCCCACCCAACAGATATGGGGTTGGTGACTTGTTGTTGTTGGAACTATAGGCTGGGGGTGCTCACAATTAATCTAAGGTGATTCCGATGGTGAAGAGTTCTCATCAGATGATGGGGAGGAGGCAGAGAGCATGATGAAGAAGCTTAACTTCCCAATGGTTGAGAAAGAGGTCCAGCCTGCGTCGGTTGTGCCCAAAGTAAGTGTTGCTATCCAAAAGCGTGTGGCAAAGTTGGCGGAACACAAGATGACGTTGGAAGCTGTTGCGGCCCCCAATGAAATGCACAAGAAGTTTCTAGACTGCGCCCTATGTCCTCGTCAACTTTGTTTCCTGTATACCCTAATTTGGTCGGATCGGTGGCCGCTGTGGATGAGGCTGCTTGAGAAGATCAGATCCCTATATGATGGCCTCCAGTCAGCTGATGCCACCCTGAATGAGAGCTACACCACGGGAGTTGTAGATGGCTTCACCAAAGAGTACCCTGGCATGCAAGCCAACGACTATTCTTCCTATCCTTACAGGTTCTTTTTGCTCTCTGCCGTTTTGGGTCCAAGGAGCCAAAAGAAAATCAGGTCGCAGGTGGACTCTGCGAAGAAACTGCCATGGCCTGAGCATTTGTGCTCCCGGGCTATTCAACCCATCCACTTCCCTTGTTTCATCTTAGGGCCTTGGAGGCTTTGTGCATGGACCGCCGTGTGAAGTTCCAGCCTTAAGCCTCAAGCTTCATGATTTTCTTTGCTGTGGTGAGACCAATATATATGTTTCAAAACAGCTTGTGCTTTTCTCAGTTGATCAAATCCCACCTCAGGGTCTCACCTTTGAGGTGTGGTGCAAAAGCAACCGCAAAAGCGGGGGCCAAGACCAAAGCCAAAGCGAGTGCCCCTAAGCCCCCCCAAAGGTAAGAGGGCAGATGCAAAAACACACCCTGCGTCAAAGCGTCAGCGTGGGGGTGACTCATAGTGGCAAAGCCACATGCTTGGCAAACATGTCATGTACTTCGTTGGGTGGTCAGCTTTAGTGGCTGAAATGCCACTGGGCGTTTTGGACCTGGATCGGACTATGAGCTTCGATGTCTCATCTTACAAACGACTCCTCAGTCTGGGTGAGAAAGAAAAGGGGTCTCGGGGTCTCTTCCGTCATTCTGCAGTGCAGCTGTTTGCTAGTCGCCCAGAAAGGAACTACTAGACTGCAATCTTTTTGGATCCTTTGCAGGTTGGAACATCCAACGTCGAACCCGGATTACTGTAAATGAAATGGACCCCCAAGACTACATCTCTTCCAGGTGTTTATCTTTGGGCGGGCCAAACTAAGGTGAGTCTATTAATCCGGGCTTGACATAAAAAGAATACAGACGGGTAAGTTTTGTAGTTGTTCGCAGGTGATGATGATGAGCGACCAGTGGAGACGTTGGATGCTGCGCTGGCTGAATCCTTTGGAGATGGGGTGGTGCCCTCAAGCCTCAACTTTTTTTTGTGGGTTTGTGGGCCAGCGCTCTAGCCTAAACAAGCCAGCGTGTAAGTTTGTTTCAGGTCAACGCTGTGTACGTGAAGAAAGCCATCAAAGCTGGAAACTCTTCGAGGGTTGGGCGGGCTGACGTTGAGCTGTTGCGTGACGAACGCTGCTTCCATGAGAAAAGCAGGTGCAATGCTAGTCGTGACATGCACAGCAGATTTGCCCGGCTTGGCCTGTCGATGCCAGTCAACATAGAGAGAGTAGAGCACCCACTGCAGAATGGTAAGACCACCACCCACTGGATCAAACCCAGTGAATGGGTGAAGGTCCTGATGAACAAGGCGCCATATGCTTTGGTTGGACAGTGTCAGGACCGCTCGTTGCAGCTCCGGTCTTTCTGGGCGGCATATGAGCAAAACAACCCTCAACATGTGGTATTCCAACACCATGCAAACGACCTCCACCAAGTTCTTCCATTGGCCCTGCTTGGCGATGAGGGTCGTGGGCCCAAACGTGACAAGTTCCTTGTGTGGTCAGTGGAGTGTTTGCTTGGCTTGCAAGACATGAAAGATTTTGCTTGCTGCTGTGCTTCGGAGGTTTCAAAAATGGAGGCAGCTGGTATTGACACATGTCGTGCTGATGGGGTCATGAACCCTTTGCCTCCAGACCTCTTGCACCGTGTTGCCTTGCAAAGCACAAACTATAAAGGCCACTCGTATGTAACTCGCCATCTGCTGTTTGGGTGGCCTGCTTGCCTGTACAGAGACCCCGAGGTCTTGGACAAGCATTTGAAACTTTTGTCAAATGACATGATCTCCTTGTTCTGGGATGGGGTTACATTGAAATCAGGCGAACAGATCTTTGGAGCGCTTTGCGCCGTGAAAGGTGATATGAAGCACATGGTCCAAATAGGCATTACACGGTCATACCACAAACTTAGAGGGGGGATGATGTGCTCACTTTGTGAAGCTGGGGCTGCCAACTTTGGACTACCAGCCTTTGAAGACACGCGGGACGAGCCAGATTGGGCAGCTACGATGGGAGTTTCAAGACCTTGGGAAACTCCTCCAGAACTATCGAGGGTGCCCTACAATCCAGTTGCGCCAGAACTGGCCTTCGCATTGGATGTGTTCCATGTCTTTAAGGTTGGAATAGCTCGAGACCTCATCGGCAGCATGATTGTAACGATGGCAAAGCTACAATTTTTTGCCACTGGCTTGAGCTAAGGCAACGCTTACCTTTTTTTCTTGTAAGCTACTAGCAAAGTAGGGCAACCTCAACATGTTTCTTTGTCATCCTCACAAGCCAGGATGAAGCGTCCGACCGCCGGAGCAAGAACTTGGAGCTTCGACTGGAGGCTGCACACGGCCTTTTCAGTTTGTGGTGCGCATCAGAGCGTGTTACGCCTGGGCTTCGTTCATTTGGGAAGCGTTTTTTCAACGTCAAGACCAAGGCAAGTTTTGCATGGGCAAACACGAAGGGAAGTGATTCCATGCTAGTCTTGCGCTTCCTGAGGTGGCTTGTAGGGCTTCGAATTTCATCAAACGATGGCTTGGCCCAGTCAAACCACCGCTTGCTGAAAACATTTAAAGCGACAGTGGATTCTGCCCTGGATGCTTTTGGCATCATGCATTCGCATGGTCTTTGGCTATCACGCCCTTGTGGGCAAATTCTCTATGTAAAGCTGATGTGCTTGCTCAGGGGGTACAAGAAGCTAGCCCGAATTGTGTATGACATGAAGCTGACTGGTTTCGGGTTGAAACCCAAGGTCCATGCACTCCATCATGTCGCTTACACTCTTCGCAGGTCTCTCCAACGTGGGGCTGTCCAAATTCTTTCTCCAATTTCTACTGCTTGCGAGCAGAATGAGGATACAGTGGGTTTGGTTGCGCGCTTGTCAAGACAGTTGAGCACAAGAGGCTTGTCGTGCAGAATCCTTCAGAGATACTTTTACAAAAAAAGGGCACTTCTAAACAGAAGCCGGCCTAAGCGATGATGTGGACGAACTAAAATTTGTTGAGATGTGGGCACTTCCAAAGAGAAACTGGCCCGAGACTTCAGGTAAAGCTGTGGGGACAAACAGTGCAAGCCTCTCCGGAAACCTCTTGGCCAGTTCAGGGTTTCCTCCCCCAAACACACACACACTCACACTAAGGAATACATACGGACACACAAACACCACCTGCGGTTTCAGTCTGGGGCTCCAGGCGCGAGGATGAAGCCGAAGTGTTGGCGGGACAGGGTGCTCAAGGTTTCTCCCAAACAGCACCGGGTGTCAACAAAGAGTGAGGTATAAAGCATCAACTGGTATCACGCATGTTTAGGCGTTCTTCAAAGAAATAGGCGTTCATGTTTGAAGTAGGCGTTCATGAGAGCTCAAATGAGGGTCGGCAGAAATTCTTGCCTAAGGATCTTATAGGTATATACCAGCACCTTCAAAGGGGTCACCTGGCTGGAAGCCCCTACACCAAGGGCCCCTTTTGCACTCCGCTCCCACTCGACTTCAAGCTCTGGAGCCGCCACGTTCCGCCCGCCGTCGAGCCGAAGTCACGCGTGGTGATTCTCGAGGACCGACACGTCGTTGTAGCGGAGCGCCAGGTCGTCCTGCGTCCTGCCACGGTCACCAGTGATCACCCTTCCACACATGGGAGTGTTTGACACTATTGAAGGAGTCAAACATGGTGAAATTCCTCGCCATCCGGAGGTTATGGTCTATAATGGTCTATTTGTTGTAGATCCGAAGGCAAACAGTGTTTGCCCCACTGCTGACCTTAAAGTATCTTTGCTGGGCAAACGCATTCTTAGAGGTCGTCGCTGCCTTTGAGGCAACCCCCAACCAAAGGATGTCCAACATATTCCAACATCTTCTATATAGGGGTTTGCAAAACACCAGTGGCAAATCGTTTAGTTATAATCAAAGCATAACAAAGCCGTGTACAATCGTGTGCATTGTGGCGGGTGCAGTGAAATGGGGCTGGACATAAACATATACTCTCATCTTAGATAGAGGCGAGGGTTCTTGTGCTCAATTTAGTCTTCTCATTACCAATCTTTGGCTGATTTCAACTCATGGTTGTTCCAGGTATGGTCTCCGGCCTCATCCCTCCACTCCAACTGGCCAACTCACCACTCCGAGCCCTGCCTGATCAAATAGCCGTTGTTGAGCCCTGCCCGAGATCTCGGCCGATCTTTCCGCCGATCGGTCTCGACGCGGGTCGAAGCGTTTCGCCGAACCAAAAAACACGGTTTCAAACGGGGCGGACACTCCGAGCCGTTGGAAACGCGGTAAGACCGCAGCATGCCAACGAGCCGGTTTTGCCCGGTGTACGAGATCGACATCGGCTCAGGTGGATTCGATGCGAAAAAAGGACCCGAAGGCGATATGGACATCTCATAGGACCCGCACCCAGAGGCCCATATTTGTGGATGTTTACCCTACAGGTCAGTTTGATCTCATGTTACTGGAGTAGGTTGAGTTGGGTAGGTCAAACACCACTCAATGATGTCAAGCAGGTTTTGCTTGGTCTTTGATGGTCTTTGGACCTGTATAGGGATACTGTTTGGTCAAACATCCCAATAGAGTGACGATGATCGTCAAAGCCGTCTCGACACCGTCACGGCAAAGCTCCCGTGGCCTGGATGGCCGATGTCGTGGCACAAGGCAGCCACCAAGAGGCCAAAACCCTGAGGCGTTTGGCTTCCGGCTTTCACTAGAGGAATTCGACCCAAGCCGCTATAAATGAGAAAGCAAAACACCAAGCAAGTTGTCCAGCCACAGCTTGGGTTGTCCTTATAGTTGCAAACATATATATACATATTATATACACACTTAGATCAGTTTGTTTTTACATTATGAAAAACCCTTTACTTAGAACATCGAGCTTAGAACATCCAGTGCAAGCACACTTAGAACATGGACCGCTGCAGCCGCAAGCACTCTTTGAACAAAAGAAATCAGCACACTTAGAACATCATATGTGAACCTGCTTTCCGAAACCATCACAATGTCCAATATCCTCAAAAAAGTTCTAAGTGTATATGTTGGACATTTGTTGGACTATGTTCTTTAGTGTAGCAGCCAGGGCCTGGGATGTTCTTACTCCAGGGTTAGAACATCTGCAGGCACATACTCTTAGAACATCGCGACCTATACACTTAGAACGTACACTTATAACGTCCCCCCTGCAAAAAAAGTATGTTATTCCAAAATATGTTCTACGTGTGTGTCTTATAATAATTCTACATCATCCAACAGAAGAAATTTGGAAGGACAAATACACCTGACCTCAATGGGATGACAAGATATGGCGAGATGATTGTCATTGATTGTCTTTCTGCTCGCAAACGGGATCCTTTTCATACATGTTCCGAACGATGTTCACTAGAAAGGCAAAACGGCTGAAGTATCTTAAGTCAAATCCAGGGTGGAATCTCCTTTTCAGTTTCAACCTCCAGAGCAGAGATGATTGAGAACTTTTCGGTTCTTAAAAAGGCTGAAGAACCACTGAGAACCTGGTGCGAAGCAATCCTCTTCTTCGTTAAAAATACACTTCGTCTATCTTCATTTGCCTTGTTACAAGGTTCTGTCGCAGCATGGAATCTCATGACCTGGAAACTGTTCCAGGAAAGCATCGACAAGCCTTCCTGATTCCACCTTCCTCCCATCACTCTTTTCGCAAGCTCAGGCACCACACGAAGCCTGTGTTTAGTCTCTGTATGTCTTTATAGCATTTAAGGGTCAAACAAAACAATTCTCATGTCCCTCCACCGCCACCGAAGCTCAGCTTTCGCGACACGAACGCGGCGAGTGTCGCCGCGAGTCCTCGCCTCCGTGGAGGTCAGCTGCGACAAGGTATCGATCTGACTCAGCTGGTGGAAACACATCCTCGGGGGCGACCAACGCTACGCCAGGAGAACGTTACGCCACGAAAACTCAGCGTGGCCCTGGCCAGAAGAAGAACAACGGGTAAACAGTGAAAACACAATGAACACTCCTGAAAGATGCTTTGGTCCAGGTGATGTCGTGAGAGATGTGTCCATGTGCAATATGTGGACTGGACATGTGTGTTGTCCACGCTGAGGTTATGTAAGTTGCAACCTATCGTTCTTAGTTTGTTCGTTGTTTTGTCACCTCATCTCAGCCAAGCATCTGATACACCGCAAAACCATGGAAGAAGTTGTGGAAGGGGTTATCACCTTGGCTTCTTATAACCTTAAACCTGGTCCCCACGTGGCGACCCACGGCGAAACGAACGGGACGGGGACGAGAATCTGGTCGGTTCGAACGGACTCGGACGGACTCCAGGCTCGGAGAGATGTTCACAGCGATCCTGATGAAACATTGAAGACCTCTGAATGATCCGGATCGGTCAGAGGTGCAAAAAGCCTGAATCATGACACTTAATTGATGTCAAGTGATGTCAGTCCTCTCTCCTTTATAATCCTTTACATATGGTATTCGATATGTGTGTTTGCTCTTATAGGTATTCGCCTACATGCTCACTTATCAAGGCTTGCGGCTTATCATTCTCACAATTACTGTGCAATGACAATAACAGGCAGCAGCAAGCATCTCATGTACAAACACACACACACACAAACATTGGTTTTCTCCGTCGATTAAACCCCAGAACTTGTTGAGTGGGTGGCCCATGAAACCTTTATAATTATATCAGTGGTCTCCAAAAGGATATGGACAGGGGGATCGTAGTCGACTTGATATCCAGGTGGTGCACACATGCCTAGCATCGCTAGAATGAATCACAAAGTCACAGTCCTTGTCCAAACACAGACTCCCACACCTCCCACAACTCCGGTCCTCACCGCTCCACCAAACACCCCCGTCCAACGACCTCGACCCGGCAGTTCGGGTCCAAGCGCGCCATCTGCGGCGCCATCTACCCGCGCGCGTGACCGTTGTCTCCGTGGCGTGAGTCACGGGAGACCCAGACCCCGGTAGACCCACTCCGAGGCACGGTAGCCCTGGTGGACCTTCTCGGCCCATTTCACGAGGCTCGCCTCCGGGATCCGACAATTCTCCTCACCTCGGCCGAGGGAGGACGGACCGAAAGGACGGGGGCGATGTGGTCCAGTTTTTTTTGTTGTTCCCAGTATTGGCTATTGTAAGGTTCAAACTGGGCAGATTGAAGATAAGGAGGGGATAGATGATAAGGTTTTGTATACAGGTTATGATGATCAGGAGTGATTGTTTCGCCTCGAATGAAACACCACGTCGTCTGACTCCCCCAGTTCTCCGAAAAAAGACACCTTTGTGACTCCGTGACTCCCTGTCTACTAGCGATGGCCACCAACCTGGTAGCTTCTTGCTACAAGTAGTAATGCACATCTGGTCTCTTGCTTGGGGACATACACAGAGACAAACAAAGAGACCACAAACCTATGTAATGCATTGTTTCTCAAAGAATGGCTTCCAACCTCCACACTCTACGAGGCTCGACTCACCGAACCCTTCAGCCAAGCTACAACCTGCATGCTTCAGAATATCAGGCACCTCAGTCCACCGTTCACAACGCAGCATAGGTTTTGCTGGCTGGAAGCAGCCGAACATACCCCCCTCAGTCTTCTTCGAACCAGCTGAGAGCGATCATATCCTCCAAGTTGAAGAATGAAGCAGTCGAAATCATGTCAAATCCTTTTCTCAAAGCAAAGGTCCTATTCTTCACTAAAGTTACTATATGTTACTATAGCTTCGTGTGTTCGTTTGCATACGGCACCTGTTGAAACCGGGGTTGCATGTGACTCGTCCAAGACCGAAATCCAAGGCCATGAGTTTTTGCTACACCAAGAGTGTCCTCTCTCTCTCTCTCTATGTTCGTCCCCAGAAAGTTAACCCCTCCATGCTCGTCCAACCGCCCCGCCACGACTGACGCGATGAGACGCACTCTCAAGCGAACGCTCGTCTCCAGGGCACAAGCTCTTCCAAGAAGTTTTCCTTCTGAGTTAACACGTCGAAATTCAGCGACATCAAGTCTTCCACCTGCCTCAGTGCAGATTGCGGACACCATTTGCTTGGATTTTGGCGAAGTCTCACCATTCAGGCGTCTTTGGATGAAGGAGATGAAGGAGCTGTCTCACACACACTTTAGGTCCCACATTCACAATGCCAAGCTGCCAGGTTTTTGGTACCAGGCCTTTCAGTGTCCTGGTGTGATTCTTATTTTTGAACCACTGGGTACCACGGTGGTCCATGGATGTCCATGGTGTGATTTTGTTGGAACCACCAGGTAAAGGAAGTGATCGCCAGGTTTTAGTGATTTTGAATTGCTCTGGATGCCCCGTTCTCACCGTTGAAAGTCCACTTTCGTGGCCCAAACCCATCTCCTGTCCTCATCAAAAACCAATGTTTCGAGTCTGAACAAGTCGTGATCAAATACATTGGGGCGACGGAACATCGGCATCTATAGATATATATACAGTAATGGCCTTCCACCCACTAGCGATCGGCTCCAACCTACTAGCGTCTATAGCTACTAGAATTGAAAACTCCATTAACTCTGCAGTTCATACGAAACTTACTGAACCCACCTTCCTTCTTCACCGAACTCAAACCGGGCGGCAAAGGCGAGTGCTCCCGCAGGAACGGCTGACGGCTTAAGGAGCGCAGAATCTCTGGTGGCGTGGCCCTCAGACGGACGCAGTGTGCGTGTGGCGGCACGGCACGGCACTCGCCGGTCTCTTGTATTCGTATTTTCAAGCATGGAGAACTTCCACAACATGGTGGGGATGGATTCCCATCATGAAGACTTCTGAAGATTGGAACGCCACGACTCACTTTTTACTCAACTCCTTTTCCCAATTTGACTATAGTCAATGGGATTGTTGGACGAATGCCTTTCCTCAAGAGTTCTGGAACAATCCCGTTGACTAGTCCACAAGTCTCCAGTGCCAAGCTTCATGCCAGGTGCGCTGCTGCTGTAGGACGGATAGGAGGACCTGCGGGTCCAAGCGGTGCGCGACCCCGCCGTGCGGGCGCGTAGACGCGCAAGAACCCAAGCATGGGCCCATACGGTCCATTATAGAGTCATAATACCTCCAGCAACGGTTAATGCAATGAATCTGTTGAGGGTTTTCAACCAAAATAGCAGGGAAGCAAGATTTGGTTGTGGATGGTTGCGGCAGCTACGAGTACTGGGGAAACAACAGGCTGGCCCAAACTTATTAAATCCTTAAACAGCAACGATATCCGCATCTGATATCTCAACATTCTCAACATGAACTCGTCTCAAAATGTTCCACATTTTCGCCGGTCCAGTGCAACCGGACGAGGGACATGGCAAGAGGGACGCACGAGACCCGCCTCTCGCGGTGTTCGTTCAAAACGGCCGAGACCTCCGTGTCTTTGGGCTCCTGAGGCCGCACGGACGGAGTGCAGAAACGGAAACGGACAACATCTCTCTCTATATATATAATACGATATATACAACACTAGCACACACTAGCTATATATATATATAAATATACATTTACACAAGCATACAATCTAGCTATATACTACTATGTAATACTAGCATATACTAGTACTATAGCTTATATTATATGCACTAGCATACACTATAGCAACATATACTACTTCTTCACTTGTGGTGTTCTTTTCAAAGCAGCTGGACCCTCCCCGTCCACTGGTGCATCAACGTCCGAACGGCGCAACCTCTCCCGGCAAAAGACACGCAAATGGGGTCGCACCGATTGCTTTTTGGTCCCAATTGCCACCACCGTTCGTATAATGTAGATCGACTCTTGATTAATAACCCTCCCATGTTATTAATCAAGAGTCTACATTAGTAAAGAAAAGCACAGAAGCGCTTTCACGGGCCATCCTTCTTTGATCCAAGCCTATCACTCACACTGCCTTAGAGTAGCGGGAAGCTCTCACTCAGCGGCCTTTTGAGAAGATATATAGCTTGGGACTCCAACTAATCAAGGGCTGAAACGCCGTTCAACAAAGACCTGTTTCGACAGGTGTTCTAGAGGTGAGTAATTGCCACTTCACCAAAATGGAAGTGGAAATTGAACCCTGGGAGAACAATATTCTTTTCCAAACAGGATCAAACAGGTCGGATTTCCATGTTGCGACGTGTTCATCAGAGTCAATGTCTTGATCGACATAACTTATGTCTGTTCTTTCTCTACAACCCAAATACCTCCCCGTCCAGATCGCACCGAACCATACCCCCCAGTTCGGTTCAACTGAACGACCCCGCCCAGTCGCGTCGAACTCGTCCGCCCTATACGTCCGTCCGTCCGCGGTTCGTCCGCCGAGGTGCGAAGACCGCCTCCAATGCCTTCCAACGTTGGCGGTAGAAGGAGTCGCCGATGACCATCCTGAGTGCGATGAACATCCACGCGAGCGACCGAGGGGCCGAAGGGGTCGGGGTGATGGTTTTGATTGTTTTTTTCTTTTTTCCCGTTATACTGTAATACTACTGTAGGGAGAGAGCTGGGAGATGGTGAGGGAAGTCTGAGAACTGTGGTGTGCCGAGAAAGTGAGAATCCCAAGCATCTTTTAGGAGATGAGGGCAAAGATTTGACGTCTTAAAATGGAAAAGTTCTCCAGGCCTCCGCTCTTTTCTTATATTGTTTTGGGGGATTCCCGCTGGTGCAAGACTTTCGCATTTACAGGGGAAGGGGTGGAGTACAACAGGGTTTTCACGATCCCAAGCGCTTGTTTTGACCTCTACAACTCTTGTTGGTGAAACCACATGGGAAGCCAACATTGTGTTTCACCATGTTTCACCCATGTGTTTCACGAAAAAAAAAATACACAAAACGCATCCCAAGGCCATGGACCGATGGATGCCGCGGATGCCGCCCTCGCTGGAAGAATCGACAATGGATGCCCATGAACCCGAAAAAAAGAGAGCGGTCGTCAACAGGGAGGCTGCGAGACGGTGCAGCTAAGGATGGTAACAACATGTGAGGCCACTGACCCATGAACAAGGCTGACCAGGGTCAGCACTGGGAACATCTGGGAACCTGGACTGATCCAACACCCTCCAACTTAAACCCTCCAATGCTGGTTTATTTTACCAAAGACATAACATTAATTAACGTCCCATGTCGCTGGAACGTCGCTCCCCTGCTGGCTCGCCACGCGATCTTCTGCAGCTCCACGGCATCCTGCTCTGAAAAGCTCCCGCTGGTGGTGCGCTTGTTCAGCACCTCCCGTTGCCCACCGCTTGTTCGGCTGGCGACAGTTTTTGAGGCCCTGGGGCCCTGGATGTGTGTGTGTGTGTGCGTGCTGCGTATATGGCCCAACGGTTCTGGGTTAGCGAGAGTACTAGCGAGAGTGTGCTGATTCTGGCGAGAGTGTGCTCCAACAAAAAGAGCGGGGATTCGAAGACTCTAACTTCACACTTGCTGTGTGAGAGGTTCACATTGGGATCCCAATGCTATAGGGAAGTGTCCGGCACCAATGCCTAGCAAACCTCCAGTTCTAGGAACTCATCCACCATAAGAGCTGACTCGCGAACCATTTCGCTGGAACATTCCACTTGTTTATTCCAATCCCCACAACAAGTTATCCACATTTTCTTGATTAATGTATGATAATGTCGTTTGACCCTGTTTGACCTAAAGACTCAATTGACTCAAGAGGTGGACTTCTACATGGGTCAAAGCTTGTCAAAGTAGCTTGATAGCTTGAACTCTTCAGACTGCCAGAGGTCCAGCCTGACCCCACCACACCCTGCCACGCATAAGAATCTGCCACGTCAGCCCTCCGGTCCTCCAGCCCTCCAGTCCCTTCCAGTCCTCCGGTCCCACAGGGGCGCGGGCCTGGATCACTCCAATGGTCTGTTCGAGGTTGATGCTACCTCGAGACCCACGGAGACGTCCCAGTGGCCCGACGTCCCAGTGGCCACCGACGTCCCACGGAGACGTCGTGGATACGCCCCGGTGGCCCGGTGCGTATGATCGTCGTGTGGGGGGGGGGGTCGGACTGAGGTGAGGTCGTCAGTGTTGTGTTCGTGTTTGAAGCCCAAGACTTCTGGAAGTAGGAGTGAGTTATAGTGACAAAGTACAAGTTGTGGAGGGAGAAATGGGTGAGTTGGGTACTATGCATATGATGCCTGTTTTGCATCATTTGGGTCGTTAGCGCCAAGACTATGACACTATGAGATGTCAAATGCACTGTGAAATGCTAGTGCACTTGCTTGCAACCTTTTGTGAGGACCAAACTGACTCGGTTACGGAGGTCCTTCATGCATTGATGATCAAACAATGTTGGGGCACCTCGTGGCATGTTGCCATACCAAGCCATCACAGGAGACAAGACTCCGTGTCACGTTTGGGTGGAAACACCTGAAGCATCCTGGAAAGTCCGTGCCACCGATCACCAAGTCTGTTCCACCGATAAAACACAAAGCTCTGGGCATGTTCCTCCACTCTGTTCCACTGATAAGTCAAGACCGGCAGGACCTGACCCGCTGCTCCCCCGTTGGAACCAGCTCCCGAGAGGCTTTTGACGGGCAAGGACAAAAGGCCCTTCACCTGGTGTGGGGCGAACGGACCAACGGAGCGGGCCGGGAGAACTCTCGGCTCGGGACCCGAAACAAGGCTGGGAGGATTCGCCAGTCTTCTTCGTAGTCAAACAATATCCACTTTGGTAGGACGGAGAACGACCGGTTGAAACCACGCATCAAAAAAAATGGAAACGAGATAAAACGAGAAGATGTGCTTAACGCTATTCGACTCATCCAATCCCCTTGGGCGGGAGGCGACATGGGCATGATGGCATGTGGTTGGTTTCCTTTTCTGGTTCCCCGAAAAAAACACACCAGGCTCCCAGAGTATTTGGTGCCAAAAGCATTTAATCCTTTTTGGTCTGTTCCAGGTCCGCTTGCCGTTGATGATAGACATGGCTACCTGGGATAAAGGGATGATAAGCTGACTCATCATCCCTTTGCTCTGGAAAGCCAAGGTTAACCCAACTTTCCACCTCTTCTTGTTTGGAAACCAATCCCCTTCCTGCAGGCTTTTCATGATGATCCACTTCTTCCTGGGATAGATCAGTGAGATTCCCCCCCGAAATTCTGCGGATCTTGAAGCGGTCACCTCCTTGGGGACATCCAACACGGCGATTCCGCTACCGCGGCGGCCTTGCCCCGGGCCCAGTCACTCGGTAGCCGGTCTTCTTTTCGATCTCACCATCAAAGGCTGGGTGACTGTGGGCATCTGGCAACGCAGGATTCGTAGATAGGAATAGCTGAAACTATAGCTGATCCCAGGGCCAAACCAAGGGGTGGTTAATGGACACCCCGAATCACAGCTAAGGGGGCTATAAATAGACACCCCTTGGAGGGTCCTGATATATATGCTGCATATGCTGATATTCATCTCAGGATAGACACTGTCTTGCAGTGGAAATAGCCCCTAGACACTGGTGCAACAAAGAAATTGTTGGAAAGGAACAAATGAACAAAACTCGTTCTTTTCCGGGTGGGGATCTTTTTTTTTGAGATAAACTGAGCAACTGGGATGTTCCAGCGAACAATTCACGATCTAACGATACTCTTGCTCCCGGCAGTCCAGGCTGTTCACATGTTGAAGTCAGCTCTGACCAGAACCACCAAAACACCAGTTAAACACCATAAAACATCCAGTACCTCTCTGGAAGAATCATCCAGCACAATCCAACAAACCAATGGTCCGTTCTCATCGGTGCTGCACCAATTCGCAGCACTCTGTATCACTCTGTAGCATGCCTCGCAGCTCTGCTAGGCTGCCGAGACCCTCGTCTCGGCTTGCCGGGCCTGGCAGATTCACGACTTGTCCCTCATTGGCCACCATCCCCACAATGCCCTTGTCCCAGTCCATGCAAAAGGGCTCCTCAGAGAGCGCTGGGGCGCCCCAGTTGCGGAGGCACCGAGCCACGGCGTCACCGAGCCGAGACCAACGCCGCCAGCCCCTGCCCCTGCGGCCCCACTGGCTCAGTCCCAACAGGTGCTGGCGCCGCAGTTCTGCCCGGGCCCCAGTGGTCGAAAAAGCTCCGTTCATAGCGTCTTTGCTCCGCTATGAACGGATTCCTTTTGCTCCGTTCGTAGCATCCTCTACCCCGCAATTTGTTTGGCGTTTTGGGGGGTGTCATTGCGAAATGGTGTTCACCATGGGACATGTCGGAACACTCCTTCGGATTCGGTCGGCCACAGGCCACAGGCCCCGGCTTCCTGGAAGCCGATGTCCATGGCTCGGTACGAGCTTCAATGTGAGACACACCAGTCAACGTGAGGTTGTTGGAACATACTCTAATCATCTCTAATCAATGGTTCACCTCTTCAAATCGAAAACCACTCTCTCCCAACACCGGAACAATCTCTCATACCTTCGGAAAACCACCCAGCGCCAAACGCACATAATGATCCCCCAGATCAGGTATATGCCCCCCCCTGTCACCCCCACCCCAGCCAGTGCTGCATCACTGCACTTCCTTCCGAGGTGCCATGTCCAAAGAGCCCACACACCAAACCTCTTTCCGCATCTCATCCACGAAGAAGATGGAGCAACGATCCGCATCCAGGCTCCCTGGGGTCCACCGTCCAGGTGCGACGAACTGGTCCCCAGTCCGGGTGCGACACCGGGCGGAAGAAAAGCCATCAAGGGCTGAAGAAGTGGGACCGGTGGAAGAAGATTGGGGTGAATGTGCATCACTGTCCAAAACCCAGTATAGCTATTGTATAGCTAACTGTCTATATCTATTGTTAGTACGTGTGATGAACATCCGGATCGATTCCGATTCACCAAGAAAACCCGCCAAGCTGCGCATGACTTCGTCGATGATGGCACGGACGTAGGCGGACAAGGTTGTATTGGGTGAAGCACAAAGATTCCTGACGACACAAAGAAGAGGATTGGCAACAAGGAAAAACACAAAAGGAAAAAAGGAGAGCTTTGAACTGTCTCGTGAAAGGTTTTATCAGGCCTTCTGAGAGGGTTTCCTGTACTATAGTCTCTCTCTCTCTCTCTCTCTCTCTTGCTCTCTTGCTCTCTCTTTACCTCTCTATCTCTCCTGTACATTTCTCAAGTTTGGACGAAGAGGGGGGTTGCTATATATATGTTTGTATAGCCATAGAAGAGTATGTTAGATTAACTTGATTAAGTTCAAACAAATTGTCATAAATGAAGCGTCATAAACTTACAGGGCCTACCATGTGCAAGGCTAGTCGGCTAGTCTTTCACATGAGTGTGGGTGTAGGTTTAACAGGGAGACCCCGAACCAATGGGGTCGAACTGGGAGGTCTCGCTATCTTGATACACATTGAGAGGACAGGACACCTCGCTCGGGTCTTTCCGTGGTTTCTGGATGCTCCCAGGATCTCTACCAAGCTTCAGACGATGAAGTCTTTCTCTACGCGCTTCTTCACGAAGCAAGGCCAGGAAACAGGAGTTCTTGCTTCGGAGAGTTACAAGGCCAGGCGCTGGTGGAACAGAGCTAGAGGAACTCTTCTTTTTTGAGTTCAACAAATCTAATTTGCATATTATACAGATGTTTTAACTATCTCTTTAAACTTTAACTCTAGATTAAACGATCTCATTAGCCTCCTTGTTTATGAATTGTTTTCAGAAAGGACACGGTTGCTGCTGCCCCAGGAACTGGATCGGACTCCAGTTGACTCCCCCTCATCCAGTCGATTTGACTCGGTGAGTTGCTCTCGCCAAGCTGCAGGAAGTCGACTTGTGGCTTGAAGCCCATAATCTTCTTGCTGCTCTGGACCCATTCCAGCCAGTTGCCTTGAGAGAAAAAAGGGCGGCAGCTGGAGGGCTTTGACATGTTTTTACTGACCCTTCCGTTCCTTAAGCTTTTGGATCCTGGGAGGAGGCCACAGGAGGCCTCAATTGAACACCATATCGTGCATAAATATACAGTATAAGACAGAATCTGCACTGTATGAAGACCCTACCACCACAAACACCAGAAGTTTACATAATGATGAATTCAGCGTTTTCCAACTAGTAGATATACAAAGAGCATAGGACAAACCCGCATTGAAGGCTTCCTTCCATGATCGAATAAGAAAACTCCTCAAACAGAATCCAAACAGAAACGCCCTTACCAGGCACCGGTTCAGTGAAAGGGTGATTTGTAGACCCCTCAGCCTCTGTACTTCTCCGAGTCCTTCCGAGCACCACCCAGCCCTGGGCGGTACCAGCAAGGCCCAGCAAGGCCCGGAGTGCTGCGACGCCAAGCCACGGAAGACGGAGGGGATGCCACTGGCTTCGCCATCTGTGAATCGGGAGAGAGGAACTGTGTGACTCCGCGAGTGGAGAGATGGATATATAATATATATATATATATAGAGAGGACCCCAATTGGCCAAAACCATGGCCATGGATAGGTCGTCATTGGATGGTATCTGCAGTCACTTTTTTTTGCAATCTTGGGAAAGCAATACGAGACCCTAGGGCCCTAGAGCTCCAGTCGTTTCTCCTCAGAAGGTATGACTGTACCCTCCTGGCACCCTCCCCACTCCCACCTTCTAAGAAGGTACGACTGGAGCCCTGGGGAGAGGAATACCTCTTTATTTCAGGTCACAGTGACACAGATTGAAACACTAAAACAAGGATATCATGATATCGGAGTGCTGAAGAAAGCTCACCAGATGTTCATTGAGTGGTCCTAAGTCTAATGACATCAACTCAGTTTCATCGGACCCAAAGCCCCAAAATGGATGTGTTCAGCCACTCAAATCCTCAAGTCCTCAGTGTCCAGCTAGGATGGAGCGCCAAGCTTGGCACTCCATCCTATCAGGGTCCATCACCCACGATGCCCTGCCATGGGCCACCATGCCACCACGCCCCCCGCATGGCACCCATCTACGGTGTGAAATAGGTCTTCCCAAGACCTCCCAGGCAACGACACCCTGGTGTCGAAGGCAGACCAGTCGGCCCACGGGGTCTCCTTCTTACTCACCCAGCTACTCAAACCGGAGCCACCAAGAAAGGACCTTCCCATCCCACCGTTCCGATTCATCTAAGACACCGTGGCTATCCTTTGTATCGGACCGCGCGTGATGTCCAGCGCCGGACCCCATCGCAGTTGCTGAAGTGGAAGGGAAGCGTCTGATATATATAATATCTGATGAAAGAGTAGACACCATGGATATCGGTATATGATACACCTCTATCTTTGCAGAAGCCTTAAGAATGATCTTTTTGGGGAACTGCCAATCCTAGAAGCTAGTCTTCAATGTCCAAAGACATTCACACGGATAAGGATAAGATATATATAATATCGAATACATCCATGTCACCTCATTGTTGCTCATTGCCTACCAGGTAGGGTCGCTGTACGACGCCACTTGCCCATGTCACCTAGCACTTGCCCAGGTCCTTCAAACATTTGGACATCGCCTTCAACCAACGGTCCACTTGAAGAAATCACGGCGTCGTTCACGGCGTCTCCAACCGGACCACCCAGGTCGGACCTCCACATCACGAAGGAGCTGAACACCCTGTGGTTCTTCACATGTGGTTCTTCATGTCGTTTCTGTTCGTTTCCGCCCTGCGCCACCAGTTCTATTGGTGCAGGGCGCACCAGTTCTCATGCGCCGCCAAGAAACCGAGTCATGAACCTAAGCCGAACGAACTCTGTTGACTGTTGGCACAAAGGACAAAAACAAAAAAGCAGCAGGAGTCTGGATCAGTCTGGGGGTTCAAACACATCCGCATGATTCCGAGCAGCAGGAGCGATTCGACCATCATCGACCACTTCACTTCATCCTATCACTTCATCCTTCACGTTGACTGCAGGTGTTCCGGTTGACAGTGATGCAACCAGGGATCACCTGCAGTCAACGGATTGAGGCCCAGCGGATTGAGGCCTTCGTCGTCGTTCCTTGTGGATCCGAAGATCTGGTTCGTTTCTCTCCGAATGGACGCGAAGCACTGGACCTGGAGATACAAATTGATTCATGGTCAAACGATTGAATTAGTCCATTAGTGCACCTGGTACCTGGAAATAGGACACACACACATATGAACTTTTTTAACTTGTGCTCCCCGATCAATTTCATATACTCAGGCACCTATCTGTTGTGCCCCATTCCCACCAAGCTTTGCAGGGAAATGTCCTCACCAGGCTAGCTTCTAGTGGTTTCCGGAGTGGTTTCTGAAGTGGTTTAAGGGCCGCATATGGCCGCATCATGAGATGTCCAGATCCTTCCGTTCTCTTTCTCCCAATAGGGGTGCCCACTCATGTCGGATGTGGTGGCCACCAGGTGTCCCGAAGGCACGTCAACTCCCCAAGACATCTGGTTCTGGCGCCGTCACCGGCGCCTGCAAATGGCCGCAGCCCAACTGGGCGCCTGCGCCTTGCGAAGCTCGCGAAGGGAAGCACCAAAGCAAAACGACAGTGCAAGGAGCTGGGAACCTAAGCTTTAGGGGGAATGGGAACAGCCAAAACAGTTCCACAAAGCGTCTATGGACAACTTCAGTTTATGGAATCAGGTGCAGACTTTTGATCCATTCGTGCATCTTCATATCATATATTCTGCATTCATTCAAGCACAAGAAGAGCGTGGTCCAGGTGCTGTTGTCCGTGTCCACAGAGATGTGGGGATGCCCATGTCATGTGACATTTTGTGAGGAAGAAACCCGGAAAAAAGGCATAATAGATTGAGGCATCCCATACTAGAAGAAGTGGACAAGTCTGTTTCGGAAACCAACACCGAAAGACCACATCCAGCAACCACTTGCCAAAGTCGAGGAGAATGATGTTTGCACATGCATATTTGCAGACCATCTGAAGAATGTCCCTCACCCAGCCTCCCCAACATCAAAAAAGATGGCATTGGAAGGTGTTCACAACCCCACTCATCACGACCGCTTCGACCGCTTCGACCGCAGCTTGACCCACCTTGTCGGGCGCTCCTGGCGCGGTCGAATGAGTCGCATGCAACGCATCCGTACGACCGATCGGGACGTGTCAAATGTTGAATTCATTTAACATATAACATCATATAACTCATAGGTTGCAGGTGCGTCGACTGACACTAGCCAATAGCCATCATGCCTAAAACATAACTCATAGATTGATGTGATCATGAATGATCATGATGATGTCAGAGGTCATGATGTAGATTCTTATGACATGTCTTTGACATGTCTTGCATGCTTGTCTTGATGATGCTTTGTGATAGCGTTCAGCATTACGTCGCATGGTTGGTCAGTCTTGCTTATCATCACACGACGTATAATGTAGGTTGTCATTCACGCTATGATTCTGACGATGTCGGTCATCATGATGATGAGGTTATGATTATGTTTGATGACGATGACGATGACGATGAGGATGAGGACGAGGAACGATAATGATACGATATGATATGTTATGATATGATATGATGACGTTGCCAGTTTCCAACAATCCCTTACTTCATGGCCCGCATGTCAGCGTCGTGGGCATCATGAGCGTCACGACCATCAAAGCCACGACGGAATCATCAGATGCCTCAAGGCACCTGACGACACCACATGATACCTCATGATACCTCTGGGGGCTCCAGTCGTACCTTCGAAGGTGCTTGGGGTGCTGCTAGGAGGGTCCAAACACCCAAATACCTTCGGAGGTGCTTGCAGGCCTAGGGTATAGCATCAGCATAACTTCTTGTCAAGGCAATATCGAGATTACCATTGATATTAGAGGACCATCTTGTCATCAAGTCCTATCAAAGCATTTGGACCATTGAGATTGACACGATTAGATGAGAAGAACGAATGGTCTTAGTATGCCGCTTAATGACACATCATTAATAGCATTGGTGCATTTAACAAGAAACATCGTGTGTGGACAATAATCAGTTGCTTGCACCTACACTGATTCCGAACCAACAAAGGCCCACATGGGGACACTCCACATCTAGTGCTAGGGCCACAGATTAAAGTACATTCAGAAGCAATCTGGAATGCCACTATGAGTATCCTCTCAATGCCACAAACCAGCATCTGCAAGTGTTTGGGGTTGGGTGATGTTGGGTTGGTTTTTCTCTTTCTGGAGACCCAACCCAACACCCAATTCCTTCGTGGGCCCTGGCGACAATCCCCAGTTACCTTCACTGGGCCCCCAAGTCTCGGGATCGTCCTGGTTAGCTCGTCACAGCCCAGACCGCGCCTCCCGTGTTCCGGGCCAGCTCCACAGGCGCGGCCGCCTGGGAGGACGAGGCGTGGAACCAAGCTGTTCTTGCGCTGGTGGTGACGTACGTAGCTGCGTCACAGCTCCGGTTTCCAAAGTGCTTTGGTGGCATCAAATGCCAACGCTCCATATAGTAGTCTCGCATGAGATTCGCTGCCTGGATCTGCCTATAGTAATTATGTTCATATATTTTATGTTCATATATTTACCTTTAACACGTTTGTAAGTGAATTTCCTCCAACTCACCATGGTTCGTCATGCCCTTAAGAAGCCATTTTCGGTCTCCAGAGTCACTATATATTTCTTCGTGATTTCAACTCCGTTCTTGCCAGTCCTGGCGCCTCATTGGCACGCCCTTTTTGGGGTCTGAGACAAGAACATACCTCAATCATACCTTGGTAATGTTGGACGCTGATAAGTAATGGGGCCCTCTATAAAGCTAAATGTTTGAAAAAATAACTTTTGACACTAAATGTTTTTGGGATCCTAATTTTTTATTATCTGAAAACATATTTAGGGTTAAGTATATTTCCTTTAGAAAAATATAAATATTAATTCTTAATACTACTAAGCCAATGGTTGGCTTGCTGAGAGTATTGATAAGTAT